AAATATAAAACATTATTAGTAATATTATAAGGGTTCTTCACGTCGAGTGATTACGAACGCTTTGCAAATCTTTAAGAAGAACCGAAACTATCGCTAAGGACTACTGAAGTTTAAACTGTATTCGTAAGTAATAGTGAAAACTTTTATCTTCGTCGGAATAAAGGAAGCTTTTTTCAATATGCTTTATTTTTTATTATTCATTTCATGGATTGTCTCCGCACAGCTAACACCAATCAGAGGTAAGACTCTGAGGATTCACGGCAGTGTGTGCTTATAGTATGCTATGGAATATTATGTAAATGTAATCAACCTCTATAAAAGTGCGTTTCTTTTTAGAAGAAATATTTGATTCAAGCAAACAGCGCAGACAACAATGGACATTCTCACCACCAAAAGCTGTAAGTAACACAGTTTCTTTGTAGCCTATTTGGCTAATTCCATAAAGGTCTGGCTTGTGTGTTCCTCAAACAATGACTTTAACGAAGAAAGTCTGTTACCTAAAGTTTATTAGGTTGTTTTATAACAGGCTACACATTTAGGCTAAAAAAAACCATCCATATTCATCCATTTGACATGTTTTACATTCCATGTTACATTTTTATTATTAATTTTTTATTTGATATAAATATAGTCTATATTGTTCAAACGTTTTTGAATGAAGTTTCTTTAAAAAAAATATGGTAAAAGGGATATTGTTTTAAAAACTGAAATGTAGCCTAATTTTTTATTGATATTTTAATATGTAGCCTAATTTAGTACTGTGATGGCAAATCTGAATTTTTAGCAGTCTTCAGTGTCATTCTTCAGAAGTCATTCTAATATGCTGATTTAGTGCTCAAGAAATATTTATTATTATTATCAACGTTGAACAGTTGTGCTGCTTGATATTATTGTGGAAACCATTTTTTCAGGATTCTTTGATGAACAGAAAGTTCAAAAGAACAGCATTTATGTATAACATTATAATATTATCATGTTTTACAACATTATAAATGTTTTTAATGTTATTTTCTTGCTGAATAAAGCAGCTTACGCTTTAAAAAAAACGATTTATACAGATAATAATTTATTATTTTATACAGATAATAAACAAATAAAACAGATTAACACAGATGTATTGTTTAATACTGGTTGATTTTTAATAATTAAAAACTGAATAATGAATCAAATTTGCTTCTCTTTTGGTCAACGTAAGTGGAAGGAAACACAAATGCAGCTTGGAAAGGACTATACACACTCTGTCTACCAAGCTTGTAACCCAGAATTGAATACGGATCACAAAACACTATGGACCAACTGGATCCCCAAACAAGATGCCCATGAACTTTTTCTGGACCTACGTTTTGCCCAAGCGGACCAGGAGCCTCTTTATATCTATGTGCGAGAATCAAGCCAAACGCAGAATCAGTACTTTAGAAGACCACAAAGACCACCTCTTCTCAAGATCACAGTCCAGCATCCATTTCCTGATGCTGTTCCTCAGGATGAGCACCTGAGCCATGCCAAGGGCCTTAAATTGGGAAAGATCTCTCAGAAGGGTTTTTACCTGGGATTTAGCTACAGCGGCAAGTGCACTTTCATTGCTTCGATCCAGGTGTTCTTCCTGAAATGCCCAACACTCGTTTGGAACCAAATGGAATTTGAGGAAACAGCAGCAGGAGGGTTGGGGAGAGGAGTTTGTGTTAACGGTTCTGTGGAGATCAGCACCCCAATGAGGGAATGTAAAGCAAATGGGACGTGGGGTCCACCGCAGGGGTTATGTGTCTGTGATACAGGATACCAGACAGACGGAAACCGTTCACAAGGTGAGACGATGTTATATTTGACAGTCTAAGTAGAATCAAGAGAGAGAGAGAGAAAAAGAAATGTGTTTAGAATTCTTATGCCAGCAATGCATAAGTTATACACAATCTTCACAGAGAAAGCATTTTCTGAATGGTAAAAAAGTGGTAAAAGCCTTAGAATCCCTAAAGCATTTGAGATTTAAAATGTAATTTGAAGTTGAAATGAAAGTTGAAATTCAGGCTTTTTTATTTTAAATTTTTTATTTTATTTTACCTAAGTCTTCACTGTCACATGATACTTTAGAAATCATTCTAATATGCAGATTTTTATACCATAGTAAAAACCACTCAGAGCATCTTAACAACTGCATAACAGTGCCCTGGCAATAGTAATAGTAGTAAAACACCCTGGCATGATAGAAAGGATTTTTTTTGCACAGAAAAATGTAGTGTTAGTTTTTATGTTTACAGTGATATATACAGTGCTGAAATTGTATGTTGTGTGTTTGTTTCAGTAAGACCTCCAGGCACCCTGTTGTCCGCTTCTGACTCCGTAGCTGATTCCAGCCTGGGACTCTCTCCTAGTAAAAACCACTCAGAGCATCTTAACAATTGCATAACAGTGCCCTGGCAATAGTATACAACACCCTGGCATCATAGAAATGATTGTTTTGCACAGAAAAATGTAGTGTTAGTTTTTATGTTTACAGTGATATATACAGTGCTGAAATTGTATGTTGTGTGTTTGTTTCAGTAAGACCTCCAGGCACCCTGTTGTCCGCTTCTGACTCCGTAGCTGATTCCAGCCTGGGACTCTCTCCTGTCCTAACTGCTGGTCTAGTGTGTTCTGTTCTGGTTCTTCTCATTCTCATTGCTGTTGTGTTCATCTTTGTAAGGCGTCACAAGCTCAGGTAAACATATTGTATTTGAAAATGCAAATGTTTATGCATTTGCATGCTCGTCCAACATAAACAAGTCTTGGTCCTTCAAAATCTCTGGAATAATGGTCAGTGCATAAAATATGTTGTTTGCTGCTTTATGTGTATGTGTTCAGTGGAGGTCAAGAAACAGAGCTCTCATCCAGATCGGCTGTGACTCGATATCGACGTTCTCAAGAACAAGTATACACTGCTCAACCGGAGCTAATCATCAGTGAGTCTACTTCTATTTTCACAATGTGAAAATTTTCATTCCAATTGTGAGTTTATATCTCAGAGATTAATTTATCATCTGGGGTCTTGCAAATCCCTATGAAAGCTCATGAAGTATTTGAGATCACCTTGTGTATACACAGTTAAAATGATGATTTTCATGCAGCTTGTATGATGAGCAGCTGTGATCAGAGTGGTGAATGTAGGCCTTGTCCAACACTTGGAGAGGAAGTGTCTCAGCGTGACTATGGCTATGAGCAGCTGCATACTGACCGACCTCAGCTGGAATCCACAAGTACGTTTGAGTGAGAAGTCAGTTTGGCAATTAATTCCTGTCATCTACACATTCAAATTTCCGACAACTCTGACTCATACCAAGTGTGTTACCAACAATCATAATACTCAATAAAAGCATCAAAATAGTGTCAAAATGCGTGTGCTTTTTTAGAAAAGGGGAGACCTTTAGAAAAACTTTTTCAAATTTTGAAATTTGTTTTCCCACTGTTATTCAAAAAGTTGGAAAAAGTAATAATCTCTACACAGTTTTCATTCAATAAGAATATAAAACCAAAAAATTAATGTGGATATATTAACTTATAATTGGGTAAGAATTATTCTGACTTCTGACAGCAGACCTTTTGAGATATTTTAGTTAATCTTTAATTTTTGGTTGTATGAAAGTAACTCATTTGTTATATACAGTATAACTAACGTAGACATTATTCTCATCCTTCACTCTCCATTTTTCCTATGTCTCTGTCTTTCTGTGTCAGGATCAGTTGAGGTGTTGGAAGGAATGAGTGATCGGCTGCTGTGTGATCTTAGAGACGTGATGGTGGAACGTACAAAGTTGACAATGGGCCAAAAGCTTGGGAAAGGTATAAACAAACTCTCACCCTGATCTTTTTTTCTGGGTCTTGCAAATTTGTCTGCACAGACATAAAAACATACTTTTGAAAAGGTTGAAATGCATCCATTATTATTTATCGGAGAGTCCTACACTGTAAAAAAAAATTCCGTAAAATTTACGGTAAAAAACCAGCAGCTGTGGTTGCCGGAATTTTACCGTAAAAAATACGGTAGCAACGTTTTAGGTTTTACGGTTTTAACTTAAATTTACAGTTAAATACCGTAATTTCATTAACTGATATAATGTTAATATACCAACCTACTGAAGTACTGAAATCTGTTTTGTACCTTTGTAATACACTGATAACCACCAAAAGCAGGTGCTGATGAGAAAGTCACATGATGAACCAAACGGTCATTTTTTACAGTATGTAAAGAAAAAATATATCCAGTTTCCACAAAAATATCAACATTGATAATAATAAGAAATGTTTCTTGAGCAAATCAGCATATTAGAATGATTTCTGAAGGATCATGTGACACTGAAGACTGAAGCTTTGCCATCGCATGAACAAAAATTACATACATAATATATATAAAATAAAAATATGTTTAAAAAAGCTAATTAAATATATAAAAACAATCTAACATGTAAAATATATTCCATAAAATTAAAACATATATTCAAAAAGAAAACTTTCAAAAATATTAAAAGATTGTACCGGTCCAAACTTTTACACTTTCCCATACACAGTAATTTCAAATACATTTTTGACTAAATCACAAATATTTTTTTACAAAATATAAAAAAGGAAATTATATTTACTTTTATAATAAATATAAACTTTTATATAAATGTATATAAATATATAGTATATAAACAGTATTTAGTATTTCATTTCAGTATTTTAACCTGACCTTAATTGGTATTTGGAAATGTTATACATATAGAAAATAAAATGAAGTGATAATTTAATACCTGTTTCAACCCCAAAATCAAATCAAAATTTGTTTATATTTACAAAATACAATTAAGTTGGTCAGTGAAAGCATTGGAAATCGTTTCTTTGTACTTTTGTCAATTAAATAAAGGTTAAAGTGAATTAACATCACAGATTTTGATTGCATTTTACAAAACATCCCAACTTTTTTGGAATTAGGGCTGTATTTTAAAAAGGAATAATTGAATAAGGAATCATTTGATTGAAAACTGTATTTTGATTGTCATGTTGCATTCTTATTCTGGAATTTCTCCATCTGCAGGAGAATTTGGGGCCGTCTATGAGGGCTTATTTTCCTCTCAGAAAGGACAAGATATCAGAGTGGCAGTGAAAACCTTGAAAGGTATATAATGCAAAGAGCAAGTGATAATAAAATATGAGATTCTGATAATAAGTTAAAAAGTATGATCTTAATTTAGAATTAAGTACAAGCTTGAGACAATGCAATTTACACAATTAATTAAATCAGCCTCTTTCTTGCTGTCATGTCACTAAGCATTTCTGTCAAATCAGGTGCAGTCCACAGTAAAGAAGATCTGGAGTCCTTCCTCAAGGAGGCAGAAGTTATGAAGCATTTTGATCATGTGAATGTAGTTAAATTGCTTGGTATGTCTCTCCTGAATGAAATTATTATTTCATGTTTGAAATCTAGGCTAAAATGTATCATTTATATGTAGTTGGAGTGGAATATTGTGGATAACCTGATTTCAAAGGGCACAGACGGGGGGGGGGTCTGTTCCATTGTAATAATTAAATGGATCATAGCAACTGTAATGTGTAATAATGTAATTGGCATCTGTCCAATACTATGATGTTCAGCAGCCAGTCAAGGTCATGCAGTATGTAGTGATTGCTTTAAAGGAGCTGTGCAGCTAAAAAGGAAATGATTGATAGATTGATTGTATACCCTATAATTATTCATTATATAGCCTATGCATGAAGATTCTTCAAATGCTCCTGTTTGTTTTATTATAAATAATAATAATAGTCACACGGTTTCCAATATAATGAGGATGGGTTAATAATAACTGAATGTTTATTTTTTTTGGTTGAGGTAGATATATCCACATTACTTTTTTAATGTAAGAACCATAAAAAATGTTTTTTTAAAAAGAATGTCCGCGGTCCGCTGAATGTTGACTTCCGGTGTCATCCGCTTCCATTTATTTTACCTGTCCAAAAACAGTCTATTCTGCTTGATATTGCAGGCTGGTAATTGTTACTATATTATTTTAATTTATTATCGTAATAATAAACACACTGGTTTGTAACGCAAATAGTTTTTTCCCCGTTTACTTAGGCCTAACTTTATTATTCTACCAGTCTTACCTAATGAATTGGAAGTCTCATGCATTCAGATAAAACAGTTTACTTCCACGTTGCAAGGTAAAGTGGATGAGACAGTATTATAATTAAAGGGGTCATATGATGCTGCTAAAAATAACATTATTTTGTGTATTTGGTGGCCCGCCGGCCTCCGCTCACTCTAGGCCACCGTGTGTGACGCTGTGTTTCGTTGTGAAAGCGAAACTACTTTGTTTGGCCTTCCAAAAATGGACACGACTAGAAATCAGTGGTTAAGTTGTATTTACAACACTGTTCCAGAACACTTCAACCCAAATATTCAGATGTGTGCAGCACATTTTATGGAGGACTGTTTCCTGATCCTGGGAGAGTAGACTACAATGCCGGCTGTTCTGACTCAAAGACTGTAAGTACGTTTTTATATTTAAAGAGTTTTTATATTTTATATATTTAAAGCGAGTTTTTTGGGCAGTGTAGAGTAGCGCTTGTTGTTTGTCATTTCTCCGATCACAAATGCAGACATGGTTTTATGTTTACACGGCGCGATGCGACGCAACGCATAAAAAGACAGTATGAGTCATTATAATCCATAATTATGTTCCCACTGGATGCAATGAATGCCTCGTTTATAATAATCACTCATGTCTTTGAATCATGGCTCCGGCCGGACAGGGCATCACAATATGGTAAGGGACATAACATTTCCGTCAACGCTTGAGGTATTCGGCCAATCACAACGCACTGGATAGCTGGCCAATCACAGCACACCTAGCTTTT